GTCTTTCTGAAAACCATTTTCAGGTACTGATTTTTCAACAATATTAAACAATCTGGTTTTTTGCTTCCTTGAGAGGTGCTTTTCTACATCCACACATTAGCACAAAAACTTTTCTGGACTTTTAAATAAAAATACTAGAAATTCTCACTGTACAAAATAAGCATTCTGACTCTATGAAAAGATCGACTCACCTCCATGAATCTATTTCTTTTGTTTTTGCACTGACAGAAACTTATGTAACATTTTTCACTTAAAACTACCTAAATGACAGCTGAACTTAATATAAATAAGCAAGATTTAAACAAACAAATATCCATTTCTGTTGCCATCAGATGCATATCGTCAAGCGTTCACACATTCTCCATTCTGAAACAGGAAGCTTAACACCAACGAGATGTGGTTTTTTTTCAGACTGTCTAATTTACTCCTACTGTTTGCTGAATGACACAATATGTAATTCTGGAGTAATACCATGCCTCAGAAACCCTTAATAAAAAATAGAACAGTAATATCTAAATCTACTTCAGCAGTAAATCCAGTTTTCTTACCTGCAGTAAATAAACTCTAATCATGTAGATAAAACTCAGACCCAAAGTTACAATCCATCGCACGGCAGTATACGGAGTAGATTTGTCTAACCAGGATTGGTAGATCTAGGAAGAAATATAAAGTGTACATCTGTAAAATACCTGATGCACAGTGAATAAATTTTACTACAGGGTAGCAATTAGAAATAGTAAGCATTTGTGAGGAGTATTTTGCGAAGGAGAGTAACATGAAACACTTGTACTCTTCAAGTAAACTGAATCACACAAACATACAAGCACTGGAAGAGTTCTGTATTTTTACACACAAAAAAAAATTACTCATGCTGGGGGCATCATATAGCAATTTATTTTTTCAATATTTAATGCAAGTTTACTTTCCCTAAGATTAATCTGACATGAAAACTGAAGTCGTCACTCTTTAGTTTTGACAACATGTATTTTCGCTGTGCAATATCACACTTAAGTCCATTAATTATTTAATTAAGCTAGGCATTATAATATTTATCTATTTTTAAAAGGCTTCAAAATAAGTATTTCATAGAGATGTTAGTGCTCAAACAACTCATCCAAAAAGTAATGATGTTTACTTAAGAAGCTGCATTGAGACCTGCTTCTAATGGATTCAGAAAAGCCCTACAGAAAACCAACCTGTCCGAGTCTTGAGAAAAATCTATAGACCACAGAAGGCTTTCCATGCACAGACTCACCAATACTGTCCCCTTCTGACATGGTTGCTGTGGAAACAAAACATGACACATAGATAACATTTAAAACAAAAAGATCTAAGCTCAGCAAAGCTTTACAGTACATTATCTGAACAGCATTTACATGTGATATTCTTTTGGATTGCCCTTTCTGAAACAAATCATTTTTAAGGAAGTGTTCTTAAAGAGAGGTAATTTTTTCCAAAAGAAACTAATATCCAAAAGAAACTGGCAAGAGAGTGAAGAAAAGGGTATTTTAGAAAGGGAAAACAGGATCCAGTCCATTTTAGGAAGGAGGGGAAAAAAAGTCCATGCAGAACTGCAGGAATGAGCCTTGTTAAACATCTTCACCTTGAGCAGGCAGGAGCCGACTTACAACATGTAAGCTACAACATGTAAGCACTGAGATATGAACTGCAGCACCACCCTCCTGTCTCCTCAGTTTCTAAAGGCAAAGAACAAAACCAAAATAAATACTTTTCAAAAAGCTGCTCAGGATCTTTAAATACTGACTAGATAGTGAAGAAGTTCAGGACTCTGCACACCAGTGGCTACAGATAAAAAGGTCTACCACAAGCACCTATACCAAAACCCTGCCCACTGCTAGAATTATTCAATGAGTTTCTCCCTCTCGAACATTAAGAGCTCAGCAGTGACAGAAAAGCTGCACACTAGCAAAGCTGTGTAAGGGCCAGGATTCTGATCTTGGGATAAAAAATGAACCAAGGAAATTCTTTTTTAGTACATACTTCTGCTACCTATTTCAGAGCTTTATTTTCCTTCTCAAGTTAAGCTCAACCAAGTTTTACAGCTCCCTTCAAGATAGAAAACAAACAAAATAAAACAGATTCTAAGCAGAAACATTTTTGCCACATCACCAAAAGCAATCCCTGACATTACTTCCTGGAGTCTTCATCTGTGGGTGGGACTACATAACTCTAGGATAGTGGGAGTTCTTTCAGCCCTCTGTCAATATCTCAAGGGCCTCAAATGATAATAAAGATCTACCAAACTTTACTAAACCAGAAAATTGTAAATTATCTTAGATTCTGCCATACAGTGACTGCTGCAAAAAATAATTACAGGCCAAGGCCAATGTGGAGAGGCACAGAACCTGGAAGCTGTGCATTTCCTCTGTAAAAGTCTATTAAGCTACATCCTATGGAATAATTAGTAAGTAGAAAAAAAGGAGTCCTGTTACACTTCAGAAGATAAAGGGATTCATTATGAGGCTTCAGGAGCTGCAGTCCCTTTTAATTCAAACTAAAGCAAAAAGAAAAAAAAATTAAATACAAACTCATACAATAGAGATAGACTTTTTCAATACAGGCAAAAGGAAATAATTCTTATTCTTCCCCTTCACTACACTGCAGGAGACAGAAGTTACTCAGCATTATCAGCTGAGCATGATTTTAAGCCCCCCCCCGCTTTCTTTTTTTTAAATGTCCTGAAGTATATAAGCCATATCAAAAAGATAATCCATCTATTGAGCAGAGAGCAATTCTCTAAAGATCACAAACATAAAACCTCCCGTATCCTCAACATTAATTTCACAGATACATCCATAGCAAATCTGGGCTATAAGCAGACCAAATATTACAATCTTGTAACCATTAACCTCTGCAGATCAAGTGAAGAATCGTGTATGTAAGGCTACTGATGGCTTTACAATGGAGCAGGCATTTTGCTTGGTGTAAAAATTACATTACATGCAACTACATGCGATTGTTTATCATACACAGAGTTCTTCCACAGCAGACCAAGAAACACAACCAGCTAACACTGCCTGTTTTACTGAAAAGAAACCTCTCACTGGCCCCATTTAAGTAGCACAGACTGAACTATATCACCTGATAGTTCACAATTTTAGTTAGCATTTCTTCTCACGATAGAACTTTACTGAAAGAACATTGATGGTTAGATAATGACCAAGAAAAGCAGTCTTTGGCATTGCTTCGAAGGTAGTTTAGTCAAGAACACAGGCTCATTGGTTTAAGTGAATATTTAAATCTAACCAGTAGAAATCCCTCTTTCGTAAGACTTTGCCGTTCAGCATAATGAATTACAATAACGGTTCAGCCATTCCAGTAAAGCAAATAATCAGAAAGATATACAAAGGATAATACAACAAATAATCAAATGGTTGGCTACCGGCACAATACAAACTGCTACCAAAACTAAACCACGTTAGAACATTTTTCTCTGCTAGAAAACACCAAGTAGGTGAATGTGTGACCTCCAACAATTAATCCTTTCAGCACAACCACTGTGGTAATACCACTACAAATAGCACTGCATCGCTGGGCTCTTAAATACTGAAGGACCTGGGGCAGCAAAGACAGTTTTTGCCTCGCATCACCACATACAGAGAGACACAGTTTTCAGACAACTCTCAGATCCCGAAACAGATTTTTCTTAGATTTGGTGTATAAATGAAGCCCGTAACCAGCAAAACCACACTGCTGCTCATGCAAGTTTCCTCATCTCATAGAGAAGATATTGCTGAAGAGCAACACACTGAAGTGACTTAACAATGGGAGGAACAACCACAGAAAAACAACCCACTGACCGTGTCAACTGCTTTTAACCCTATAGCCCACGTTATTCAATTGTGGTCTGTCAGAATTAGGTCTGGCCTGTCAGGACTGTGGAACCAGCAGCAGCTGCACAGCACCCGTGCTCACAGCGCTTCCCTGAGGCCCACATACCCTGAGCACTCGTTAAACCCAAGACAAGACACTTTGGGAAGAGCCAGCGGACGGGCAGGCTGGCGCTGCCGCGGCGCAGGCAGCAGAAGAGGATGCCCTGAGGCAGAAGCGGGGCCCGCTGATGCGAGGAGGACGCGGGAGCGGAACAGGCCGGGCAGCGCCAGGGCGAGAGCGAAACAGAGCCAGCGGCAGGCCCCGGCCAGCCGCCCCGCAGTGCCCGCAGCTGGGAGGAGCGCCTGGGCCGCAGATGCGGCACGGCCGAGCCCAAAGAAGCCCCCGCGCTCGCGGGGGGACCCTCACGCAGACTGGCACTACCGCAACCCGCCAGCCCGGAGGCCCCAGTCCCACCTTCCCGGCCGGGCCCACGGGCACAACGCGGGGCAGCGGCTACTCACAGGCGGGGGAGCCGCACTCCTCCTGCCGCTACCCCCTCCCGCTTCCTCAGAATCCAATATGGCGGCACAGCGGGGAAATAGCCCCTTCCGCCTCCGGGGCAAAGGGGCGGGGCAAAGGCGAGATATTGCTCCGCCATTGGCCCCGGCGGGGGAAGTGGGCGTTGCCGCGGTTAAAAGGATGGAGGAGGCGTGTATGAGTGCGGGCGGTGGGAGCAGTGCGGGCGGTGGGAGCAGTGCGGGCGGTGGGAGCAGTGCGGGCGGTGAGGGCGTCGGTCCCGGTTGAGGGCAGCCGCCGTGTTACCGGCGGAGACCCGTGCCCCGCGGCGGGCGGGATACAGTTATCGGGGGCTGAACACGCGACCGGCGCGGTTGATACGCATCTTTAGCGTCCGCGCATCCGTGATGAACGCTCCGCCCCTCGCTCCCGCTCAGCCTATGAGAGCATGGAGGATGTAGCATGGGCGGTGCTTGCGCGAGGCGGGCGGTGCCGGCGGAGGCGGACCTGGGCGCTGAGGTAAAGCGCGGGGCTCGGGCTCCGCGTCCCGCGCCGGCCCCGCCTCAGCCCGGCCCCTCACTGCAGCGGCGGGACGGGTCCCGTGTGACCGCGACACAAGAGACGCGAGGCCCGCGCCGCTCGGTTTAGGCTGGTGTAAACGCAGTCGCTCTTCCTGTGCTCCTAACGCTGTAGCTCGTGGCTGTTTCTGTGCCATCTGTCGGTGACGCTGCAATGACCTGCAGGTATTTAAGAGCCTAGGTTCCCATTGCAGTGTAAAGTGAATTTAAATAGCAAACAAAGAACTAAATTTCTCTTGACAGTCGTTAACGCTGAAGTTGTAGAATGGGTATCCCTGAGGCGAATTAGCGCTTTAACTTCAGTATTACTTGTTACTCAGAATTCAGTATAGTATTTCTGAGCTGTTGGAATAATTTGGGTTGTGTTCTCTTACCGCTCTGGGCAGGGTGGGTGCAGGAGCCTCAGGTGGGTCTTGTCAGAGGAATTGAGGCCTTTTGACTGAGCCCAGGGATTTATGCCGACCCGAGGAGCATAAATCAATTGAGTCTGCAACAATCCTTTTAGTTTCACCTTTTCTTTTGAAAAATGGTGTCATTGGTAGTCGTTAAACCTTTTGTATGCTGTAAGACGGAACCAGAAGGCAAAAGGATCCCCTTTTTATATGTACGTGATCATTACCTGTGAAACTAACACAGATGTGGAGCTCACAACTGAAAATCACATCCTTGACTTCAAGTTTTAGTGACTGTGATTCTGTTCTCTTCTATTAGAGCCAATAAGGAAAAACCTGATTTAATGGATTCAGCATTTCTGCCTTGTATATACTTTGTAAATCCCTTCAGTTGGGGTCAGTGTTTAGACGCTGAGGTAGTGAGAGAACTCTAAAACGTGAAGGTGCCAACAATGCATAGAGATAAATTTAGTCATATAAGTGAGAAAAACATGAGAATGTCTCAACTTTCTCCTTGAGCATGAAACGGGTGGACATTTCTCTGTTAATAGGAAGCATTGTTTTATTTTCTAGGTCAGGACAGAGTGTTCATCAAAGGTGGAGGTTACTGTGAGGGCAAGCGTGTCAATGGAGAAATTATGGGGAATGGATTTCAGTACTGGGCATCCACAGGTAAGTCTGTAACTACCAAAAAACCCAAACCCTGTCTCCTTAAAATTGGTAATATAAATATGTATCGCAAGCAGCCAAACTGATTTAGTCCAAGTTGTTGTACTTCCATGATGTTTATTGAAGAGTTCTGTTTTCCATATTTTCCATTGGCTCCTCGAGTTAGGCTGGGTTAACAGTCAGTCACTTCAGAAAGCTAATCAAATATCTCAGTGGTAGAAACAAGAAACATATATCATCAATTTTTGACACTAGTTTCCATCAAAAAGCTGTTCAGGTGACTAGAATTCAAGTACTACTTTTGTACATTCCTGAACCATAATAGGACACACTAAAAATCTTTTTAATGCATCACTTTTGGTTTTACAGACCAGAAGGAATATGATTTGTTAGCTTCAAAATAAAGACTATGTTTGTACATTTGTAGTCTTCATAAGACAGCAGTAATAACAAAAAAGTATTTGTTAATTATAAACTTCTAGGCTTTTATAATGTCTTATATTTGTTCTAAGTACCATATCACTTATTGTTGAAAGTTAAATGTATTAAGAAATTCAAGGTCGTTTGACACGGCTGTTTCTGTAGGTAACCTTCTTGTATATTTGTCACTTTGTGTGCACACAGTTTTGTGCCACTGGGTGTCTCTCTAGCATCTGTTTTGAGACTGATTTAGTAAATTCCTCAGGCTTACATTTGTTCAGTAACTGGGCTGCTCTGTAGGGTTGTAAGCATTTAGTACTATATTTAAGTTTACGCTGTGTATGTGCTCAGAAGCGACAAGATACTCTGCCTTGCCTTTGCCCACCCCCCCCCCCGGATAAAATCCTCGTGCTACTGATGACCGTCTTGTTGACGGATTATTTACATCATGTAGAAAGCGTGGTATAAAAGGCAGCCACTTAGTGCAAGTGTTCACTCTGCATATGATGCTTTCAAATTATGTAACAACATAAAACAATGAAAGCATAAGAGTAATTTTCTTCAGGCAAAAAAATAGGTTAAAGTTTTTTTAGCTGGTTTTTTTTTTTTTGACCTGTTACCATAGAGTTATGAAACAGCACCTTGGACATACTGAAGTAATCTGCTAGAGAAGAAAGAACATGGGCAAATATTTGAAGCTGCAAAGTATTCTAGATTTACTTCTATGTGATCTATGTGAATAGATTGAGTAATGGCAGGAATGTTGAATTTGTCTGTTTTTCCTCTTACGTTTTAACTGTAATAATGTCAGGGATAGATTTTTTAGATCAATCTTTTGCAAGTGATAAATTTTTAGTAAGTGGATGTTGTCAGTTAATAGCATATTGTAGGCTGTGAACCTTCAGAGATTCAGATCGATTGAATGTCCAGTAAACAAGCAATAATTGTAACTATATCAGCAGAGGAGTCCAATAATGAGCAACAACTGTGATTTATCTACTGCTTAAACATAAAACTATTTTCACAATGGGTAGAAATGTTCTCAAGAGATGCCAAATAGAAACTGTAACTGCGGTGGCCTGTCTGGCTTTCGTGCATTTGTATGTGCACACATTTGAGAATGAAAGATGACAATGAGATGCTAATGAAGTAAATTGCTCATTTTCTTCATGAAAGTGTTTCCTTTCTATGATTTCTCATTTCTGGCTGCTGCCTAGGTCCCAGTAAGCAGATGCTGTGCTCCATTCTGTCCCTGTTGCTGCTTCTTTGTGTGTTTTGGCTGTGTTTGGTTTGTCGTCTTTCCCAGAGGAAGGCCTGCTGTTAGATACACCTGTTAACCACACAGAACAGGTGGCAAGCCTTATGGGCTTCTTCACCTGCAGGCCTGTGTTCCCCCAAATCCATCTGAGTTACCTGTTTGGAAGTGCCACAGTTTCCGTTCTGATGCAAATTATTCCAATTACTTGAATTTCGATTGCTCAGAGCTATTCTGCGCACTAGTGGATAATATGAAATTGGAAGATACAGTAGGTCTTCCTGAATCTTGATTACATTCCAATATTAAAAAATCCAGCAAAATGCTATTCTCCTTATTATTTCTCCTTACTATTATCCTTATTCAGGGATCAAAAGCGATTAAAAGTTATTGTCTTTTATGTATATTAAGCCAGTAAAACAATTTGAGTGTCAATAACTTTCTGAAATGTTGTATAGAATCTCTGAAGTTTGAGGGAGAAATAAAACTTCATATGTCTTTTTACATAAACTGGTTTATTTTTGAGACTGTAGTTCTTGGGATAAACATTGATTTTCCCAGGTTCTAAAACCAGGCCATATTGTGTGAACTATCTGAACATATTCAGCCAGATGAGTAGTCAGGATATACATGAGTAACTTTTAAATACAGATCATAGAGCCATAGAATGGCTTGGATTGGAACGGACCTTAAGATCGTATAGCTCCAACCCCCTCTAGACACATCCCACTAGACCAGTGTTTGTCTAAATTAGCATCCACTGAGCCTGTATGCTGTAATGCCAGAGATTTTAATAAAGGAAAACATGGTTCAGTCATTGTTTGAATCTGTAAAGTAATTTTGACATGATATTTAAGATCAGGCTCATGCAAATAAGTTTCATGAATGGTTGAAACCAAATAATGAAAATGACTGAAAGCCTAAATCAGAGCATGTAGAAATTGTTGAGTGTAGATAAGTTGAGTCTAGAGTCAGGCAAGCTTGAATTTGAAATAAACAGAATTAATTGCAATAAAAATTGTAGTAGCCAGTAAATTGAAACCTAGAAACATCATCATGTAACTGAGCTACATGTGAATTTACTACTGTTTAAGTTATTTTCTTAGAACTAGTTGTTGTGAAGTTATCTCTCATGATGAATAAATTCTTAACATCTCAGGTTTTTTAAACTCATTGAGTCATGATAACCTGTTTACACAGGCTGTTGCAGAAATGAATTAATATGATATATGATCTTGTGAAATTACCACTGTTAGAGTACTAAATGTTCTTATTTATTACCTGAAACGTTTAATTGTGGTTTAAATAAATCCCATATAAGCCCATTTACTTTAGAGTTTAGAAACAATCTACCACTGCAGCATGCAGTTACTGGAATAAATTCCTTATTACTGATTACTGGGATAGGAGGATATCTGTGTTGATACTTAGTTAGTGATAAACATCTTTGTCTTCACTGGTTACTATTCTTCATGAACTTTATTTCTGTTTTGGCCTCAATGGGTAGGTTGCAGTGTCGTGTGTTGTAGGTCTCTGAATCACAGAAAACACAGGGCCTTACTGAAACTCAAGGATTTAGTTTTGTTTAAAGCAGAATTCTGTGTTCTAGTTTAAAACCAAAACCAAGCACAAACAAGAGAACCCCCACAGCACAATACAGTCCATCACTGGAAGCTTGTAGCTTTTTCTTATCTGCTTCCTGCTCCCCTTTGTTTGTGTACTAACTGGTAGCTCTTTTTCTGGAGGCCTCTGTGTCACTCTGGTTGTTCACGCCTTTGTTTCTCTGCATAAATGTGTGATGTATAGATAGTGCTTATGTGGACGTCAGCATTTCCAAACCTTGCATGTGTTGCATTGCTAAGCAACTTTTAGCAACACTTATCTCTCATCCTTATGCCATCTGGAAAAGAGAATAAGACAAGGAAATGTGCCAGAGAAAGACAAAGGCACATCTAAGAAAGAGGTGGCTTAATTACTGAAGAGAATGAGTGACATTAATAGTAGGCAATCATCAGAATTGATTGAAAGCAAGTACAAAGCCTTTACAGGTAGTGATAAGGAACCACTGAGATAGGTTGCATATTTTATACTCCCTGGCCTTCTTCCTTCCCTAGAGGAAGCAGTACCCAGCCGAATCCTATTGCATATTTAAATGCAGTGGTGCAGGATGAAGGCCCCTGTGACTTCAGTACAAAATGTGGATACAATTCCAGTCACAGTGAGTTTTTTCTTGACCTGGTTGTTACATACATTCAGGAGGACAACTAGGACAACTACTGACTACCCTTTCCATTGGGCAGAGAAGATTGTGAAAATACTTGTGGAGCTTGGATCTTGAGTACTACTAACAGTGCTGCTGTCATTGAGATGACTGCTGAGATAGTGTTGTGCGCTTTGAAGTGATGGAAGGAATAGGTCAAAGCAAGTAGGATCAGAAGCATATTCCCAAAGAACTGCTTTGTCTTTGCTTTTATCTTCTAGCTTACATCTGTAATTGCTACCCATCTGGAGTTTCAACTGGGTTCACACAGTTTAGCGTTACAGTAGTGCTTTATTTGGCCCCTCTGCTGTTATTACATGAAAAGCTAGATATCCAACTTAATAGAAGAATGATCACTTTAGATTTTGAATCTCTATTTCCTTATGTATTCTTAACATTGAAAGAATGTTGTCTGATGCTAAACAGGATTTAGTACCACGTAAAACAAGTGACATTTGTTACGGAGTTGTTTTACTTCCTATGCCTGGACTTTAGGCTGGACTTTGACCATTGTCGGATTATTTCCTTATCAGTTTCAACTCCAAACTCCTCCCAAGATATGGGAACAAACTCAGACTAATTTTCAGTGCCAGCTCTGTGCTTCAAGATGCATACTACAGTATACAATACTATATGTTCTTTTCACATCTGACACTGAACCTGGTATTCCTGATTGTCTCCTTCCCTGTCCTGTCAGCAAATACCTGTGAAATATTTGACAAATTTTCCTATCCTTCCCTAGTATAGGACCACACAAAGAAATGTTTACTGTGCTGTTGGATAATGTTAGTGAAACTGTGGCTGTGAACTAATCATCTCAAGATTATACTGTGTTGAAAGGGTATACTAGAAAAACTGCCCGTTCACCATGACGTAACACTCCGTTGCACGCTTACATGTGCGAGTTTAACTTTGCTAGAAACTTTTAATTGGCTCATACCTAAGCTACTGTGGTATTTGGCTTTGCAGCCTCAGGAATTTTTAAACTTTTGTGTGAAGGGTATGGCTTGGGTGAAATGCAGTCCAGATTTACATAACCAAAGCTTTTTGGAATTGAGTTTGGTACACTATTTCACTTTTCACCATCTTAAAAAAGCAAAATAATGTGTGATCCTGTATGTGACAAAGCAGTTATTCATTCTTGCCATGTAATTTAATGCAATGTAATATATGAACTGAAGGACCTCACATAATAGTATCCCACAGTAACAAACCTTGGGCAAGAAATGTTTGATTCTCCCCCCTTTCCCCTTTAGAGGAGTACATAATCCTTGATGGTTGTGTGGTCTCCTATTCAACTTTTCACACAAGTGTTGGAAGGGTATTTATAAAAAGTCCTGAGGACCACCCACTCTGCTATTGAACATTGGCTGAAATAATCCCTTCTTTATAATTTAGCTGTGGTGTTGTCGAAATTTAAAATCCGTGTGTATTCCTGTTTAAAGGGGCAGTGGAGAAATGACGTATTCAATGAGTGGGGAGCTATAGTTAATTGTTCTGGTGACATCTGTGATGGACTGTGGATCAATGGCTCCCCTGCTGGTACGTACATTCATTATGCTCTCCAGTTATTAACAAGTCTTTGGCATAATGCTTTGGTTGCCCCTCTTTTGATTAATATGATCTGACTATAGTGTTTCGCATCCTCTGAGTACTCATTTCTCCTGGAATGCATAGTTCTCTGGACAAGGGGATGACTATTTGACCGAGACCTTTCTGCAGGGAGGGAGCTGTTCTCTCAAATTAAACATGAAGGTAGACTGAGGTAACAAATATTCTCGCAATGGATTTTTATTCTTGCACAAGGGAGAGGTTTTTGGGTTTAATAATGTGGATTTTTAATTTTAAAGTAAAAGTATTTTTGAATTAGTAAATTGGAAGGGTAGCAAAAGAGACAAACTGTGTGTGTGCATGATGGGATGCATGTGTATAAGACAGTAAGCCCAAATAGTTTAAATTATGTCATTGGAAATTGTAAAGAATTGCTCAGCAGGTTATAATTTCTTAAGCACAGAGCAGAAATGAATCCTGTCATAATGCAAAGATGTGGACTCAATAGCTTAATAGAAATCTTTTCTAATCCAATTGACTTCTGCATGAGGGTACTGTTTACACAGGGTATAGTAGTTCCAACTGGAGTGTAGCTCATCAAGAGGTGCTCCTAAGTAGATTTTAGTATTGCCTCAATCAGATATGAATGTATTGCCACAAAAGTGATCCAAAAAACTTGAGATGCCGTACATATGTATGTACTCTTGGTGTCAAGCAGCAAAACACATGGAATGGAACTAAGATCTGTGCAGCAGCCCATCCTAAGTATATTTGCATGTCATAACCTCTACTGTCAGATGTTAATAAGACTCTAAAAATGAAATATTTAATAAAAAAACCCAGAAGAATATAATTCACCTGATTGATTTCCATCTCTAATATTTGGCATACTTGTAACGCTAGGTCATCTTTTCTGAACCCAGAATAAAAATGTTCTTTTTTAGAAGCACTTCCTCTAAAGGAATAAGTTATAGGTTTCGTAAGTCCCACAGTAAAAAGCTGCTTTAATCCAGTCAAAGTTGATAGTAATCAAAATTCATAGCTGTGTTCAAACCCTGTAAAATGTTGCAATGGTCTGTTTTGTGATTAGTTAGCAGATGTTAACTTTAACAGTCCTTTTTTTCTGGCACTGTAAGCTGAACAATAAGGAATTGAATAGGTCTTAAAGAAATCACTACACAATCATGGAAGTATTCTCTTCAGATTACTATAAGGATATATTTGAAGAGGGAAAATTTGTTCCACTCCTGTTCATTGGGTACTTAGAAGACTTAATTTTCCCTTTTCTCAGCAGTGCAATCATTTACATTCTGTATTAGGGAAGAGTGATATTCCTGTTTATCACCAAACCTTAATTGTTTTTTCAGTCTTTTTAAAATGCATTTTTGTGGAAGTCAAGGTTATTCTCAGGACTTCAGTTTAAAGTAAATGTCCAGAGAAGTATTTCAGGCAGAGTGATAGCTTGGCTTCTGTGACAAAACAGCTTTCCTTAAAAGGAGTGATCCCCTTCCTTCTAGCAGACAGGTTCACTTTAACATCATGATTGTCCAAGCCAAGTATGGATGATACTGTTTGCTCTTTGTGAGACATTCACCTCCACAAGGACTGTTGACCCTGGATGTCTTGGGCAGCATTTCAGCTACAGAGTTTTTGCTAGCTTTCTGTTGGAACTTTGCATCAAATTTATCTACTAAACCTTCTTCTCCTGTTCCCCAAAATCAAAGTGAGAATTTTACAGGTACTTAATGCCAGAACCTGCTGTCCTGAGTCCGTTCTTTAATAAGCAACATAAAGATAAAATTATGAGCAAAATTTTACTCTTCCTATGGAGTCTGAGGTGTGAGAAGGAGGAGGGGGATGTAGGTTCACCCAGTCTCAAAGTAGATATTTCTCTTGCAGCCTGTGGAAGTTCTGGAGGAAACCATGGTGGAGCAAATGTTTCTGTGAAGAGGACCACAGTGGAACAGATACTAACACTGCAGCCCATGAAGAAGGACCCCATGCCAGAGCAGGTGGATATTTCCTAAAGGAACTGCAGCCCATGGGACAGGTTCTACTGACAGGAGCTGTGGCTTATGGAGGGCTGATGCTAGAGCATGGTTAAAATGTGAGGAGAAAGGAGCAGGAGAGAGGGGCTGTTATGGACTCACACAACTTCGCCATTCCTCATATGCTTTGTTGTAGTTATCAGCCATTTACTTTATTTGATGCTGCTGGACAAAGTAGAGAGTTCTGATACCTTTTTAAGAAGTACAGAGAGGCTTATACTCTTAATCTTTTCCAGGACTTGTAATGTTGTGACACAGTAACAGTAAGAGATAGTTAATACATGATTGTGATATACTAACTCCTTACTTCTTGTTCTTTTGATGATCAGCTATGAGCAGTTGTCATTTGGAGATCTGGGCTGGCACTGGAAACCACAAAGCCCCATCAAGTTCTGCTACCAACCTCTTTGAGTTGATTGAAGAAACCGAGAGGAAAACAGTTAACTTCTGTGTACGTAGTCTGGGGAAGAGTCAATTTCATTGTGTATTTCCCTTGATTAATATATGTATTCAGTAATCTAAAACCAGGTAATTGGTTTGCCAACTTCATAAATTACAGCAAAGGTACAAGCGTTATAACCTAAACATAGTAGCAGATAACTTTTTCTAGATGCTGAGGTGGTTTTATGTTTCACGTACACTTCTATAGTGTAATATTCAGCCTTTGAAGAGTGCAAGTTGTTTGCTGCCCTCCCCTGCCCCTAACTGGTGGCTTCTGACTATTCAAGGTAAGATCCTCTAATTGAGCAAATAATACACCATGCTCTGTCTTCAATCTGGGAACACAAAAATCATCCTTCTAAATACGGATTTGTGATTCTTTAATAATTGATTTCTGAAGTATTGATAAATCCACTCGAGTCTCTGGAAACTGCTGAATGTCAGTACTTCTAAAAGGCCAAGAACCTTTAAATCTCATTGAAGTTTGTTAACAAAATCTCACCCAGCAATTTGTTTCTCTGCATATTTTTATAGCAACAATTTTCTTTTTTTTTTTTCCTGTCAAAGATAATAGCTGATGTCAGAACTGTAAATATTCCACAGTAGTTATTTGAAGTACAGTACCAGATGAAATTGAATCTACTGTGAAATTTTTCTTTGAAGCTGTGAAACTTGATTCTCTGTTTATTAGGGAAGTCACTGCTTTCAGTTTGTGTAGCATTTCAACAGAACTTGGAAAATAGAAGGGGTAACCTAAATGAATTATATAGCCTCATTTGTCATCTGTATCTCCAGTTTGACAAAATCTAATGAAGTTGTTGGAGAGGTAGTTCTTAATGTATGTCTTCTGCTGTATACCAAACTTTAAATTTATATACTGAGTACCTAGTGATTGTCATGGTGAATTTATTCTTGTATTTGCACTTAAGATTTAAAAACCTATCAGCATAAATAAACAAAAATGTCAAGACTATTTTCTTTCATTGGATCTGAGTGTATAAGGTGTCTTGACATATGTGCATCTGGAAACTGGGAACTGAAATCCACTGTTTCTTTCACTAGCAGTTCTGGATTTGACTGGCTGATTCACCAGTCCCTAAGACACATAGGGCCAGAACCTGGAACTGATACCAGTATGGAGATGGAAATGCTTCAGGCAGTCAGCATGGTAAGTAAAGGTAATGGATTGACTGCTCAGCTTCTTCGTTAACTGAAAAATGAAGAAGTATCTTTGCATAGTAGTAAAGTAACTCTAGAGTATAAAAAACTGCCTTGGTAATACAAAAAGGCAGTTCTCAAATGAATTGTTTTCAGCACAGAGTGCTAAATGTCTCATAATAAACAAAAAAAAATGACACTGATTCCACTTTGCAGGCGAAATCTGTCCCGCCTAGGGTTTCTTTTCATTATTTTAATCAGGTGAAATGTACTGGTGTGCAGCAAGATCAAAAGCATTCAAGTAAGTTTCTACAGTCTTAATTCATTTACCAAGAATCAAACGAGGCCTGAAATTTGAACCTGGAGTCCAGATTCACTCAATTTGAGAAATACTGCCAGGACTTCAGGTGCTTCTGGAGGCAACTTTGACTGGCATGTGAAACATCAGCATTGAAACATCAGAATTGACACAGTCTTACTCTGTATCCATAACATTAAAAGACAATACTTTCTGTTAAGTTCCTAATTGCAACAAAAAAAAGTGTAAGAAGGAAAAGGAACCCCACAAAATACTTCTGGCCATGTAATAAATCAGAAGAGTAGGTGACTTTGATTTTTAAGCTTCAGATTTGTTGTTTCTGAGGAGGCTTTTTGTTGGCCACTTGGTAGCTGGGGCTCTAAAGGTGACTGTCCCAGTTATGTGTTACATTGTGGAAAAACAAGCAGTTGCTTTTGCAATCCATGTGCAAATCCTGTCTGTGACTCATGCAATTTAATCAATTAGAAACAAAATATCTTGTGACTCCCTGGATGGGGTACCATATGTTGCAATAGAAAGAAGAGTGGTTTTAGAGTAGGCATTTAAGTGTTTTTGGAAAGGTGACGTCACAGTTGAAGATGTGTTTTGCTTAAAATAGTAGGACTTTGAAACAAAACCCAGTGATTCTTCCACATAGATTGCTGAGCTGATAGTTTTGGGGATTCAAGGCATCCTGTTGTTACAGGCAGGCAGCCATTGTTCTCTGCAGTGTCACTACTTGGCTATGCTGTTTGTGTGTGTGTGTGTGCTTGTCCTGCTGATCCGTTTCGTTGTGCCTTTCAGGGGGATGGAATAATGGATGTACAAATGACTGCTATATTTTCATAATTTTGCAATACTTTTCTGTCCTGTAAAAAGATGGAACAAAGTGACTTAAGAGCCTTGCACACGTTCACCCTCAGCATCCCTTGTCTCCAGCTGTCCCACCTTGATTGTTTTGGTTCACACTGGCTTGCATAATTTGCAAAAAATTACTAGTTCAGTTTTCTGTCCTTTTTTTACTGTCCTTTTTCAGTTGTTTTTAACTCAGTAAGTGTGTCTCACTTATTTTGACACCTGAAGTATTAAAGATATCCCCAAATTACCAGCATTAAATAAGTACATCCTCCTTTTGGTTGGCTTATTGCAAGAGCATTTCCTTACCAGATCTCAGGGTCACACGCAACAGTAGTGTTCTTCCTTTCGTGGGACAATAAATCAGATTGTTCAGAGTTCTGGCACAGTATTTCCAGGCATCCTTCTTCCACAAAAAGGAATTCTTAAATTGAATTTTGAAGTGTTCCATTGAGGTCATGCCTAGAGTGATTTCTTCATATGACAGTGTGTGTTTCTGAGTGTCTATGGCAGACAAGTGACTTTTCAGTGTTACCTAATTGTCCCTGATTTCAGTGAATGGATTATCTGGGACACTGCAATAATTGGTACTGAAGGGCAGGTTAGATGAAGTGAAGCACATGGGGTGGAAAGAGTGGGGAGAGATGCCAAAGAGACTAGAGGAAGGAAGGAGGGAAAAAAAGAAAAGGAAAAAAAAAAAGACTAGAAAGAGGAACACTTGAAGAGCTATTGAAAGATTCTTTTCTCAGGCTGTTGTCTTACTGATTTCTCTTCTGATTCTTCCCATTTCTACTTTTGGAGAGAAACGTTGGCTGGCTCTCAAAATACTTTGGGATATTTTGATATCGGAATACTTCTGCCGATAAGTAAATGATGAGATCCTTGAAGCTTTCATGCATCACTGCCTGTAGTATGGATATAATCATGCAATGATGAAGAATCATCTTTTTATCCAATATTGATGAACTGTCAGTGAAAGAGTTCCAAGAGGTTTTGTTGTTTAGTAATAATGTATATGTAGCTATTGTTTAAATATGGATTTTTTTCCATATTTCAAATAGGTAATGGGATCCACAACCAGGAAAGATATATTAGATGTCACTTGACTGGAAAGCCACTTCAGTCACTAGTTACTAACATCTATCTTAGGCTTACAAATGAATTTCTAGTAGCTTCATGATGTTGGGCAAGTAAGTAAGCTTGGTATCAATGCAGCTCTTTGGGTTTGTTTTTTTTTCTTAGTGCTATTGATGTCTTTTTACAACGTTTTTTGTTTCAGTATTATTTTCCAAGACACTTTTTAGAAAATATTATAATGACTGCTTAAAAGTAGGCTTTGAAACCTTACTCAATGGACTTAGAGTAGCAATGTTACCTTGGTTGTTTGTTACACTAATGGAAGCAATGCATGCATATTGAGGGATGTTCACTCTATTCTTGTTGTTATTACAAGATATCACAGTGTAATAAAGATAGAAATTTCTGGGCACTGATATCAGTGACTTAAGGTTGCTCAATGTCCGGCTTGTTGTAATTCTGCTGTTTTACATTTGCTTCATATCATCACTTTTCTGCTGCATCAGCTAAAATATTTTTCATATTTGTCATTGAAGAAGGTTATTGTGCTACGTGTCTTAAATTTAGGAGGATTTACAAGGCTGAGTAACAAGCTTTCAATTGAAACCAGGGCTAGGAATGTACAGAGCGTTTGTATGAAGCCAGCTCAAACGTATCGCTGCTTCATTGTTCAAAAGATTGGAAGTGTAAAAAGTTCAGGTTTTGGCTCTTACTGTTTTTATAAGTGCTTAGCCTTAAGTGTTCTGTTGTCTAATTCAACCTTATCACTATTACATACTTTTTCTTCCTTCACTCACTAGTTCCACTGACATCCACTAAAAGAGTATTTAATTAAGATACTTTTTTGGAGGTTCATTATGGCTGAATGGATTCCCATCTTTCTATTTAGCGTTGTATTCAATTGATAACACTGGATTTGAATGAGGAACAAAACACAGTCAGGTGAAGGAGTAACTGATAATTTTAGTTGGTCGTTTAAGCAGAAAGATCATAGAGGGGGAAATTTTTGTGCCACTGCATGTTTAAAATGCTTGGTTTGTAATAGTGTTAAAGTTTTCATTATGGCCTTGATAATTTGGGAGAATACATATTAACCTGTAACAGAAATAATTTGAACATAAATGTTTGGGGATTGTCCTTTTATTGGCAGCACTCAACTTGATTCGTTGGAGTTTTGGATTCATCAACAGAAGGAAAGTTTGCAATGAGAGAGATTTATCTCTTGCAGGAATTTGTACATTGAAACTTACCAAAGGGGAGAGCAAATATGATGATTTATCTCAGGAGCATGCAGGAGGGCTAAGCCAAACATGCATCTTTTCATATGTGCTTGGACATGTTACAGTGTAAAGATTTGGAGTGGCTTTATAATGCCAAAGCAGGGTGCCTGGGAAAAATGTTCTGTTTTCTCCCCACTATTTCTTATCCAAAAAGCCCTTTTTAGGCTGTTTGACAAAAGTGAATGTGTAACTTAATGCAGGAACAGCATCAAATAACACACAGGCTGTCATATGTTAGTTAAGGGGGGGGGGGGGGGGGGGGGGACACGACAGTTACCATAACAACTGACTCACCACTTGTATTTTCAAGAGAGAGAATACCTTAAAAAAAAAATGGAACAGGTCAGTCACTTGCAAGTTAGGAGTGTTTTCAGTGGAAGAGCATGAAATGGTTTTTCCTGGATGCAAGAATGTTTGGGTTTTTTTTCCTTATTCAAGGAAGGTTTTGATATCAGAAGTAAGATTACGCTCTCAGATGATCATCTCCATTACAGGAAGCAGCAGCAAGTATGTTTAAAACCAAGCCCAAACCCCGAATACTTGACTTGTAATCATATTAGGGAATCCTCTGGAGAGCTGACCACACAGAATGTGTATTTTGCAGTGGAGCACCACCACTCTCAGGTGCCTTCCCTTTTTTGAGATTTACTCTTTTGGTTTGTTTTTTTTTAAACTTGAAGACTCGCAACAATCTTCATTTTGATTCCATGTTGAGGACCTGATTCTGCTCATATTTGAAGTCAGGAAGAGTTTTACATTTGACATCTGTCTTTGCATGATCAAGTCTGAACATGATTTCTAAATACCTGCATGATTTTAAATCTACTACTGAAATAATGAAAAGATTACTTTAACAGACCTGAAAGAAAGAGGTTGAATGGTTCCTCAGCTGCCTCTGTAGCAGCTGGAATAAAATATTACTAATGCTCATCCCAGATCTCTGTTATATTGCCATGGTTTTAAGTGAACATCTGACAAAAATTGTCATCTGAAGCCCTGTTACAGGTACCTACAGAAATAACTGTTCATTTTCAGTATTTGTTGTATTTGCAGAGTAGTTACTATAATTTTGTAGTCTTACTATTAAGATTCACTAAAGTATGCTATATTAGGAAATCTTTGGTAGGGGGGATAAGTCCTGTTCGTTCTAGAACGTGTAAAACTTGTCGACCTGGCTCACCTTTTAAACACTTTAGTACACAGACTTACAGAAATACATCTAAAAAGAAGTAATTATGAAAAGCATCTTCCAGTACTGTGTTGAAATAGCTACATTTGTTCCATTCCTCTCTGTAATCTCATTTCACAACAATGGGGCAACAAGGTGATGATTAGCATGTTTGCTGATTCTGCAATTAGAAGCCTTGGGCTAGTCCTGAGCACGCTGATTCCATTAGACTTGTGAGGAGTGCTGGAGATGGCTCAGTAATTGTGATAAAAGGGGTCCCAGCGTGTGTCGAGCACATCCACGGTAACTCAGTTTAATGAGGCATCAATTTAGAGTTAGAATCTCACAGTACAAGTCTGCTTTACTACAGTCTATAGCCTATGATATCTTTCCCAGGTAATTACTTTATTCTGAGACTTGTTAATTCTGTTTTTTAAAGATAAATTACTGGGTGGGAAAGGAATTAAGCTTTCATGCAAAAGTTCTTTCTACAGTTTAAAAAGTTTATCTACATCCGAATTTCCTGTGTGACCATTTATCTTGTCAACAAAAGACGCACAGGACAACTAGATAAAACTTCAGATTTATCAAGCGTGCACTTCTACTGAAGATGCTTCTTGCTGGTCTTATCAAATTCAGTGCTATGATTTAGTACTTCTAATGAGCAAACTTTCTTTGTTTTCTGCTTGTAACTTCAGTCCAAACCACACCAAGCTCTGCTCCAAAGCAGTATGAAGACCAGATTATTTTACTGTTAGTTTTGAACTTCCCCTGGTAGTTGCACAGAAGTAGAAGCTGCTTCTGAAATTATATTGGTGGTGATGTAGTGATGACCTTTTGAGAAAAGTGCTGGTGGAGTTCAGTTGAGTCCAGAAGCTTTCAGCACACTGGATTTTGACTTCTCTAAATATTTCTCTAAATTTTGAATTGTGACCCTAGCACAGGATCATTCTGAGCCCTCATCAGCAGAGTGCTCATTTTGGTTCAAAGCTTAAGAAAATAATAAAAAAAAAAAACTGAAACGCTTTCCTTTCTTTGGGTCTTGGGTCTGTTTTGTTTTAAACTTTCAGATTGGCTGCTTGACGTTTTGTTTCAAAGAAAAGCCAAGCTCACACATGTGGAAGATTGCCAGATCCTCTAATCCCTATTTTAGTTAAATTACAGTACCCGGATTTCGATAACAAAGTGCATTGATTTTATATTCAAAAAGATTTTTATATTTAGTCTGTTAACCTTTTGTAATTCCCACCCACAGCTTTGAACTGCAGAACATTTTGATGCTAATTGTTGTCAGGAGGGTATCTGCCATGGCCCCTTGGCAATTGAAACCCATTGAATTGTAATGCAGGTGCGGGTAATTGCCCAACTGTTGTGGTCTGGCTCCAGCATGTATGTCTCAAACAATTCCTTTCAAATTGGGTTTGAGAACACTTAAAAAAAAAAAAATCCTATATTTGAAGATAATCTCATATCAGAGTTACAATAAAGAAAAATTTAGGAAGAAGTTTTCCTCTCATTTGTAAGAGTTTTACATACTTACAGTTTTAAAGCAGCCTTCACTGTGGCAGACTATAAGGTTCAACAGCTATTGTGGAGTGTTTAAAATGTCAGTTAGTGCCTTTGGGTTTGGATATTTATAGGAATCTGGTAGTTTCTGAAAGTATGGTTCGTTGCTGTAACACCGTAATCCAGTGAGTATGACATGGGAGAGGGAGGGGAAAAGAGTGTTTGTGATCATCTGAGTGATATCAGATTACTTTCTTCTAGCCTTGCTTTTCTCAGTATGAAATAATGATGCTTTTCCTTTAAAGATCTCAAAACATTGAGTCTAATTTGAACCTATGTTATAGCCAACAAAAATCTGTCCTACAATCTTAGTGTGCATCTGTGTGTGTGGTTTCTACCCTTAAGGAAAACTTAATGTTCTTTATTTCACTAGAATCTTCATTCCATTCTTCACAAGATCTACATAGTGCAGAGTTAATGATTATGCAATAGTACTTTGTTTGGAATACACAATATGCTAAAGTGCTGCCTGGGAAAATATTTTAAATACAGAGTAGTCATTACTTTTATTAAATGATTATAATTTTAGTGGGTTTGATGAACCCTCCCTCTGAGTGAGGTCTTTGTTTCCGCAGAGTGCTTTAATATGGATGAGAGTCATTCTCATGAGAAAAATCTTTGCTTAACTAAAGTTACTATGCACAGAAAGAAGGTAAATTTAGGGTCAAAAATAGGAGCTTTTTGTAGCCTTCCCTGTAAGGCGTGTGTGTATGTGTTTTTTTTCTAATTAAAATCATTTTAATTCAATATTAATTTCCAAAGATTAAATTAAAAAAGGTGTTCTAACAGTTTAAAGGTGGTGACCAGTGGTGGTGAAAAGCCATTTCTGGAAGTTGGAGTTCCAGGTTCCTGCCTGGGAGCGTGTCTCTTGCAGCAGGACAGGATTCAGGATTTGGGATGGGCTGGCTGGTTTGGCTTTGTGCTTGCTGTAAAAGCTTTGCTGTGGAGATGTAGCTACATAACTGCTATGGTAAAAGTGATTTACCCCAGTGGGTTTGCAGTTGGAGTACAAGATTCACTGCTGTTTCTTCATGCCCCTTTATAGTTGTTTGTGTGCACCCAAGTTACCGAAGTTCTAGGGATCTGGACGCTTTTAGCTTCACCCCGAAATGGTTGATTTGGCTCATTTTGAAGCAAAACGAATTAATTTTGCAAATGCAAGAAAAGATTCTGTGGAGGTTCCATTACCTTGAGTGTAATATTTCACGTCTCTTAGGTTAATTCTGGGGAGTGAACCCTGGCTGGAGCTGTAAACTTGGAATTCTTCTTGACTCAGCCTTAGTGGTTCAGGATTTGGGGGATTCTGTTTGCTCATACTACAGTTACACAAGTGCTAGTAGCAGTCGTTTTCTCTTACTTGAAGTATTGCAATGCAGGAGTATGCTGAAAAGGTCTGTGGCAAGAGAGCTCAGGCTCAACAGCATGAACTAAGGATAACAGAATCCTTAGCTATGAAATGCATTGGGTTTTGTCAAATTAGCCGAAAAACTTGCTCTGACATACTAGCAGGTTTTTGTTAATTGAAGTTAGCTTTGCAAGGTACTCATGGAACAGGATTTTCTCAGTTAACAGTTGATTTCAGTCTTGGTGCCTTTGTGGTTTCATGTTTTTCACTCAGCAGTAAAAGCGAACTATTTGTTAACTGTGTCATCTGTGTTTTACATCATGGAAGTTTGGGGTTTGCTGTTGGAAACACAATGTGTTTTCCTTATGGAAGCTGGCGGTCTAGCTGTGTGTGGTTGATTTTTATTACAGGTAATTTGAACACCATTTTCTAACATAGGCTGTCTTTTTAAAGTGGCACTGAGAAATAAATTCACCTAGTAATTGTTTTACAGTGTGTGTGTCTAGAAAAGGGGAGTTGATAGAATACCTGTTTTGGAATGTTACTGGTTTCCCAGACAGGATTTATGATGGAAAAGGACAAAACTAAGCAGTACACAGGGCAAGGCACAGATTCCCACCTACTATACTGTAATGTAATGCTACCTGCGCAATTTGCACCTGATAGAGCCCTTTCAAGGGACAGAAATGGACAACTTAGCCATGATATTTTATTCTGGTGGCATCATATTAGGTTGATATAAAATGCAGTGTTCTTCTGAACAAAATTGTAACCCAGATGACAACAGCCTCTCGTGTATTAGCAGCCAGGTGTACCACAGAAATTGTTTAACATTTGTTAGAAGGAATGTTTATATAAAATATGAATATCAACTTATATTTATGTCATATATGTAATTCATCTAATGCACAAGCCTTTCACTGCTGTTGTTACCATACTGGCAAGGGAGATTGAAGTGGTTTGCTACAAAGAGATTGTCAGTTATGCTATGGCCGCATTGTAAGTGTTTTAGCATCACAGTTACTGGGAAGTGCTTCACTTCTACAACTGTGTGATCCAGATATTTTCTTACACTTTCGGTTCTGTCCGTTGGGCAACCTGTGACAGGGTCTCACTGTCCTCACAGTGAAGAACTTCTTTCTAAGATCTCAGTCTTCCCTCTGGCTGGTTAAAGCCATTCCCCCTTGTCCAGGGGGGAGTCCAGGCTTCTTGTAGCCCCTTTAGGCACTGGAGCTGCTCTAGGGTCTCCTTGGTGCTTTCTCTTCTCCAGGCTGAACAACTACTATCCATAGTTGATAATTTTCTTTGGGATCCATGTAGTAGCGAGATCGTCCTCAGTAGCTTGAGTTAACACCAGTTTACTTACCAGAAGTTAAATATATTTTGCTTTCTGCTGAACAGATCATCTTTCTTCTTTTTTCTTTTTTTTTTTTTTTTTCTCCTTAATGAACAAAGCTCTTGGGTGAATGGGTTCCAGCACTAAAGACTAATGCAGTGTATCTGGTCACCTTTGAACAAAATGGCTGGTACCCCTAGGGCCAATAACTCTGTAGTTTTAGAACAGTTCAGTTGAATGAGGATGATATTACAGCATTTGTTCTGCTACAGATAGCTAATAACTACTTGTGTGTTAACAAACGTGGGGTTACTGCCTCGTCATCCTTGCTGGGGGTGCTTCACTGCCAGTGTTTTTTCCTTCCTTTCCCCAGACACCCCCTGCCCCTAACTTCTGGCTTGATGTCCTACCCAAGTGATTAGAGTGATTTAATTGAATCGGCTGTAAAAAGATAATTAATTGATATTTCACTCCCAGAGAGGTCAAGCTGCCCTATCTTGAATGTATGAAAGTAGTCATCCTGTTGGCACTTAGCCCTTGAAGGTGGCACGTGAGCTCTGTCTTGCTGATAGTCATAATGGTTGTAATTAAAATTAACATGGATTTTTTTTTTTTTTGTTTCTGGTGCTTCCTCAGATCACACACATAGCAACTGTATTCTTGTTACTGTATCTTGACTATCACTCTGCAAATACATTATGGGTAAACCTCTTGAAGGCTTGTGTCAAACAGAAAATGTTCACACTAGAAATATTCACCTCCTTTCTTCCCTAAAGGGTCACTGATGTTCCTTCACTGTTCTGCTAAAGAAGAAAGGCTGAACGGGATCCTTTATTTCTTTGAACTTGATTTCCAGCCCCTGATGACAGTTAAATGAGCCTTGTGACTGTAGTGCACTGCTAAAATATCTTTTTGGTGTTAAACAGTGTCAAAGCTGTGTGGAACAAGAGCTATCAGTTAATAATAATAAAAAAGGGTTAGGTTTAGTGACAGAGGAACCTTTCTGAAACACTTAGTGCCTTAAGAACCTGGAGCCATTCTGTAAGCAGCGTGTAAGTACTCGTTGCCCAGAGAATAAATACTGCTGCTACAGCGAAAGCTAAGGGAGAGATAGATGTTATTTAATGTCCTTGCAGAGGCAAAGACTTAACTTTTTATCTTACCGTGTAATGATAAAGTTACAGCACTGTGGAGATAACTGCAGCATTCACAACTTGAAGTTTCTTCTTGAAGGTATTGTAGGTAGTATAAAGTGCGACAGAATATTATCTTTCACACATCACCCCGCAGAATTTGAGACAAATACTACTATTTTTAGGCTTTGTCCTGAATTATTCAACAACAACTTTCCAACACAAAGTATTCCAACCAGGATGTGAAATTCCCTAACAAAGAATTCTCCCGTCTTCTGGTTTGTATTATGAAATGCTTCTTCAAGTTTCCTCTCACCAAGAACATGACCAAAACAGCCTCCTTGCATGTTTTGCAGGGAAGAGAAGTTACTTAATAGTGAGATATGAGTTCCTTGGCATAAATTTATCGCGAGGAATTGCAGTATTGCTAATTGTTCACTTTGCTGGTTGTGACAAAACTAGGTAACTATTTACTTCACTCCCAGTAAGATTTTAGTTCAACAAAGAAAGAGCAGGTCAGAGAATCTGATACAACTTCTGGTTTCAAATTCTTTTGACTGTGAAGTTGTACATTCTGGCTTTTATCTGTTTTATTTTTGGCTCTGTAGGGAAGTGAATAGGATCCAGTTTTGTTCACACAAGTAAATAATGGCAAATTGTGAGAGTACCTTAATATATGTAAATCAAAATCCAAGTTCAAGTGCTGATGATTTTTGCATTTGTTCTTAACTTATAATGCAAAGGAAAACATGAGCACATCATAAATTGCACTGCGTTTGGCACTTAAACACTACAGAAATACTTCATTTTATTTTTTTTTTTTTCTCTGTGGAAAGGAGGCCAAAAGCCAAGTGGCAGAATATCTGCTGAGAAAGCTGAGAAGATGACAGTCTCACAGGAGAAAATGGAAGACAGCAGGTATGTGTGAATCAGTATTCCTGCTGCTCAGCTGGAGAATGCTGTCTGCCGAAAGCAGTTCTGATCTCTTTGCAATGCACCACTTCTAATTGGTGTTACGCTCTTGGACAAATAGCCCTGTCTCTTCCTTAGCTGGCCACTGCAACATAAATATTGCCTTTCACATTTTATGCCAGTACATCTTTTCCTTCCTTATAACCTGGGCTTGTGCTTCCAAGAACAATGTTTCTGAGTCCTTCTGTTTGATGCTGGGGTTTTTGGGTGTTTGGAGGTTTTCAAAGTGTTTTTCTTGTTTTATTAGAGCTTTTCCCCCGTTTCAAACGCAGGGGGTGGTGTGGGGGGTTCACTGCACCTTTAAAATTGTCATCAGATCTACTGCATTTTTTTTTTCTTTTTGGCCAAGTTTTGCAATCTGCTGTGATTACACTGGGTAATTACATCTCACCTTGCTAGTTTCAAACTGGTGTGTTTAAATGAACGTCCATAATTGTACACTCTCTGAGGGAGACCAAATTGCATCCAGAAGAAAAACTCCTCTGCTTACTGGCCAGTGAAAAGTTTGATTTACTTCATAAAAACCTTTGTGGCATCTTTCAGGTAGCTTCTTATTTCAACCCCCATTAGTACTGACTTTGCACACTGACTATAGCAGGGGGTTTAATCAGGACAATGTGTAAAGAGAAACTCTGGCTTTCAACAAAGAGAATGTGACGACTACTGCTTCCTTAGACTGAGGTGATCTATCCTGACACAGCTGATTCCCGGAGTCAAACCAAAGCTAAACTCGGCTGAGCGTGTGTAAACAGCTTCAAGTGTTAACAAGAATAGAAGAAGTTTTCTTTTGAACAGCTTTATTTCCTCAAAACAATGTAATTGGTTTCAATATATATTTTTAATTCACATCTAAGCAACATTTTTAGTTTTTGGTTAACTTTAGGCTTTTCTGCTCTTTTGTGAGAGTGTATGTGTAAGTAGACCTCCTATTCCCCTTTCTATGATTCTGTATTCTCATACAGATATCTGTGCTAGGTGAGGAACTGGAAGAATTAACTGTCATTTCAAGTATAGTAAGAAACCTTCCTTTTAAAAGTACCATATAAGAATATAGTAAATAAATAAAAACTTGTTTCTTGTAACCATGTAATCGATATGCAGCTCTGAAAGCAATACTGAATCTTTCCATGATCCAGCCACAGATGTGCTTGCATTAAGGCTGTGGTATGAGTTGACAGTAAATGAAACTGCAGCTACAGCAGCAAGTATTAGGGGGAAATGAAAATCCCTGACTCAGAGGAGCAGGGCAATGACAGAAAGACTCCTCATTATAGATCTTTTCATATGGAGAAGAATGACTGGTAAATGAGGTTTCTGTGACACAAAGAGGATGAAACTACAGTTGGACTTTCATGCAGAAACTGCACTCACTGTATAAAACAAACAGAAGAATAGGGGATACGTAATCTGCATTTCTTAACTGACAAAATGAGTATGCAGCGATCCTCTCAGACGGGTGGCAGTTGCAGCAGTGAAGTCAAAGATATTGTTTGACTTTCCTGTTATTTGGCTTGTGATGAAAATGGCTTTTCCTACACTTGATTATTGGTAACTTCTCCAGTGTTTGCTTTATTGACTGTACAATAGGTTACAAGCTGTTTAAAATACTGACTTGAGCAAATCTGCCATGATGACTAATTCTCCACCTTTTTCACTAGTTCAGCTAACAGCAAAGCATAAAATAATTATAATGGAACTTGCTGACATGAGCTGGCACAGCAATTCCTATGTCTAGTCACGTTGGTCCCGCTGATTTGCAGTAGCTTCTCTGAAACAAGGTGTTTTTTCATCTTTAACCAGTTGAGAAGTCATGGTTATGTTAAAATAGACAGGACAGTGTGCACTAACAGTAGTAATCAGAGGTACCCAGCTACTTAAAGCACTTTCAAAAATGCTTCATTTACCACACGCAGTAACTCTCTCCCTTGTTTTTGCAGTGTGACCAGGGAATTTAGTGTAGACTGAAGTGATTTTTGTTTTGTTATTTTTCTTTAAATGGCTTCGCTTGGCTACATTGCAGCCCCTTAGGCTGAGCCTATCTTGCTTCATCCTATTTAGTGGCCCAGAGAGTGGCAGATTCCCAGATTTCTGGTGCTAGAATAGCTGGAGCTGCCTTCACATGGGATGCCATCTCTCTTCTGTGGTCTTTGGCCATAACATACCTTCATATGTTTTATTAAATGAAGAAATAAGAAAGGGTGAAGCCTTGTCTTCAGGCAAACTCAGTTGGACTTTTGTCTCATGATGTGAAGGGTAGGTACTTGTGTGCTGAGAAGGGGGTCTAACTTTTTCAGGTAGTTGAGAGGCACTTGAAATGCTTGACTTTGTCTTCAGTAATTTATACAATCAAAGAGCAGGAATAGCCTGTATTATCAATGTATGTAGAGAAAAGTGCTGAGGTTTCAGATGGGTCACTTCTTGTACTTGAAGCTGACTAGCGCATTGATCTTCACCTCAGTCTAGTAATTCCTCCAAACCTACAGTAAGTCACACACAGAGTCATTAATTACCTGCACCTAGAAGTCAGTCACTGCCTACAGTGGCAGCCACTCCATTATCATCTGGTGTATTTCAAACAATAGGAATGATTGAAACAGGAACTCCTACATTTCTGTGCAGATGAAGAGTGGCACGCCACCCTGTAATTTAGGTACTTGTGCAAGTTTTCATTTGCATTAGCAGAAAAGTGTGGGTCGTTGAATTATTCCATAAAAATATCCTCAGGTTTTGAAAGATTTACTGTGCTTGTATATGTTGTTTGTTTTTTAAGTGTGCTGGTTTGGTGGTGATGGATTTTGTGGTTGTTTGTGTCTTCAAGCGAAGATGAAACTGAGATTCATTGATTCTCTGGAAGCCCAGAGAGTGGCACGTTTGAGTCTCAATGCTGAGAGCCACCTTAAAACTCAGTTACATTTATAGAATAGCTGAATTTAATTTTAAATCCATCAGTCAATCCCATTTCCTTTATTAGTAAAATGAGCTTCTTTCCTATGTGACACTGACAGTTACTGCAAGCAGAGATTTGTTGTCACATATTTTTGTTTTCTTCAGTTATGTGGTAGGGAGGGTCACGTTTGTGTTATAATTAACTCAAACTAATTGAAATTGGAATTTACTTGAAATCTGGATGAAGCTGCCTGATGTAGGTTTACATATATTTTTCTGTGACTTGCTTGACTTTAAAGGGTTTAGACAGGAGAGTATTTAATCATGCCAAAAGTGTAACTGGATGTTACATAGTCATGACTTGAGATTCTCTTAATCTTTTTGTGTCACTTCAGCTTCTCCATCTGTATTTTGAGCACTGTTTTTAATGAGTTGGATATGCTTTAAAGCAACACACTGTACCTTCACAGGAGGATGTCCATTTTCAGTGTCACTGCAGAGATATCTTTAATCAGGATTGCTGGTCAGAATACTTCTGTGTAGGAAAAAGGCAATGGTAACTGAAAAACGTTAGTTATTTTACAGGAGCTGGAACTTCCTTGGCACCTAATTCCGTAACTAACTTTAATCAGTACTGCACAGCTGAATTCATGATTTTGAACGTTTACAGAGTTGGACAGAAGCTTATAATAGTGACAGGGCTACATCAACTTCTTTTGTTCTCTCTTAAGGCATACTGAATTCTAGTGGTATAAAAACACGGGTTTATAGATGATTGTCATCTGGGATGTGTGGAGTTGTTGCGGCTCATGATGTGGCTGCACAGGTGACTGTGGCTGCAGAAAAGATTTCCTGGAAATTTCAGGACAGCCATGATCAAACAATATTTTCTGTGTTACAATTTATACCTTGGACTTGAACATTTTATGTACAACATTTCATCAAAAGTGTAGGTGCTACGTATGAGTTAAATGCAAGTGGAACTTGGTTTATCTCATCTCAAGAAGTTCTTTTTTATTCCATTACTCATTTTAATGCATTGTTTTAAATAGTCTCAGCTGTTAGGTAGAGGCAGCTTGTTGTCTTTCCATAGCAGAGGTCACTATGCGTCAGGTGGCAAATAAAACTTAAAATACATTTTATACTGACATCTTGCTTTACTTGGAAAGGATTCTTTTAATTGCCCCCTTGACTTGATTCATGCAGGAAAAATTCCTTGCATGTCACAGAATTGCACTGTGAGATCCTGTCAATCCATGGAGCTTGGTTTAACAGAGGAGGTGTGGGACTTTACCCAGCAACGTAGGAATGCTGCGTATCAGTCTTTGACTGGTTGGCTGGGGTGAAGATGGAAGAGGAAATGTCAGCTTCCTTTATTATTTATTCTGAGCAATATTAATTACCTGGTTTGTGATTGGGAAAAAGCAGCCACAGGCAGAACCTAGCCAAGCACCAAGCCTAATCCAATCAGCCTGATGGATGCAGAAAGTTTACAGAATGACCTTGTGCATAATTACTCATTTGACGGCTGTTAGTAAATGGCACAAATGGAATCTGACATACATTATAACACATTAATGATTGCCTTCCTCCCTCCATCCTCTTCTGTACAGAAAAATGATTTTAATTAAGACTTCCGTGATTAGTCATTTAATCAGTCATTAGGCCAATACAGATGGAGTCAATTAATTTTTTTACACTTGAATAGAGACTTGATGCTACTGCAAACCGTAGAATCTATGTTCTTAACATTGTATCATGGGCAATTGCCTTGATGTCTCTCTAGGAAGTGTACATTGCTCCTCCAAAAGCTGGATAGCATTTACAGCATGTCACTATTGTGGCAACTGTAGGTACGTTTTATTACAAGCTAGCCAAATTTTAATGAGTTGGTTTTGTTCTGAAGTCTTTGGTTGTTCGTGTTATGGACTAGCCTTTATTTTTTGAAGAGTAGTGGGGCAGATTTGCCTGTTAAAGAAAGTGTATTCAGCATCTCCTGATGTATTTTATTACAAATAATAATACTTTGCGTTTCATGCGGGAAGATTTTCTACCTGCTT